TTGTGTTTTTGCCTATGAAACCTCTACTTCCCCCTCAAGCATGAAAGTGGATGTCTTTAGAAGATGGATAACACTTAAAGCCAATGCGCATACGACTGTATGTACAATCTGTTGTCTTCCACTATCCATAGAAGGAACCTTTGAAAAGCAGAGTTCAGTTATCTTACTTCCACAGAAACACAGCTGCCTTTCTGTCTTATTAAAAAAATTAGATTTTAAGATTCGTTTCTCTCTGTGTATCTAGCAGGTCTCACCATTCCACAGCTAAGTACTGTACCTTGCCACAAATACAAAGCTGACAAACACAAACTTACTTTGTGGGTTTGGATAAAACGTTTGCTGAAGACAAGTGTCCTGCTACTGCTGGCGAACTGGGACTGGAGAAGGAAAAGAGAGAATGAAGCTGGCATTGGTATTCAGATCCACACCAGTCTGAATGACTCCACATGAAAATGGGAAGGAGAATCAAGATGACAGCACGTATTACCCGGTGCTCACAGGGATCTCTCATGCAGGCTACTGTATATGTGCAATTCAGTTCCTGTGCCTGCATCTGACATTGGAAAATAAACAGAAGATTGTTGACTGGATTGTGAAGAAGAGCTCTTTGAAATATACTGCCAAAGGAACAGGGACTGAAGTGAAGTGAAAAATGTATATTTCTCCTATCATTCCATCTTCATTACAATAACCCTGCCTCCCCTCCAAACACAGGTGAAACAAAAATTAACAAAATTGTACGGTATGATTATTTTATTCCATTTGGCAGAATGTTTGTGTGCTCTATGGAATTAATCTACATTCTTGAACACTTGGTTATTAATACAGTTGCTTGTTATCGAAATAATAATAATTATAATAATTGCTTACACTTATATAGTGCTTTTTCTGGACACTCCACTCAAAGCGCTTTACAGGTAATGGGGACTCCGCTCCACCACCACCAATATGCAGCATCCACTTGAAATAAGCTTTTGACAAATAAGATCACTCCAGCACTTTCTCTACAGCATCCGCCGCGGCCATATCTTTTAGCATTTTTTTCTTGCTTAGAGAAAGGCAACAGTTCAACGGTGAGAAAGTGGGCTTTCAGTTATTATTAGGCTCTAGACTGTTATTTGTCTTCGGAACCAAAAGATCAGAAACTAAGTTTTTTAGGAACACGACAGAACACAAAGACCTTGAGCCAACCCTGATAGCCTGGTAACCAAGGAAACCTAGAGCGGCCTGTTCCAGCTTTACTCTTTATCCTGATATATGCCCCACTCCCCCTCAGTGATGCTTTACAAGACCTGGTTGAACTTTACCCAGAAAACCTTTGACAGCTACTTTGCCTCGTCACGTTCAAAAGTGTAACTATTCAAAGTTGTAAAAGCCTTAAAATCAAGAGATAGAGGGTGGTGAGTCAGGTTGGATTAAAAGATTTAAATCTAAATGTATTTTAGCTTAAATAAATCATATTGAAAAAGATTCAGTTCTTTAATTTCCTATTTTGATATTTTCTCCGTGGATCAGTGTAGCCAAACATAAGCAGGCCACAACTGACAGACCTTATTAAAAAACAGGAATAAGAATCACTCCAAAATGAAATATATTGTTTAACCAGACACATAAAGTTATTTGTAAATTAGCTATCCTAAAACATACAGTATATCTGCAAAGGAGTTTGATAAGAGCAAACTAAAAAGAGAGGCAATTAACTGTGGTGCATGATGGGTGAAATGCGTTGGAAAACACTTGTATTCCTTCAAGAACTTAAAAATAATCAAACAGCAGAGAGAAGTTCCCATTATAACTGCCTACTTGATAGCACTAAGTCCATTGCTTCATTTTCCAGCTGCTTTATCCAGTACAGGGTAGCAAGCAATGGGCACAAGGCAAAATAATTCCCAGGATAGGATGGATGCCAATCGATTCCTGAGCGCAGCACCAAGTCAGTTCAGCTATTTCAGTTCAGTGGGTGTTCTCAAACCCGTGTGTCTAAATATCACTGTTAAAAGATTCAGCCATATAAATAGGGAAACAAACACATCAATAAATAAAGCAGATGAATCATCTCAGTGCCCCATTTAGTTCGAATGTAATGCAACTGTATCTTCTTTCAGCTGGGTACACAACATCACAGATGAGTCATAAGTCCCTAAAGATAGATGCATAACCATTAACAAATAATTATGCAAATCAAGATTTATTTTCAAAACGAGGAGCCCTGCAAACTCATTTACGATGGAATAAGGCTGTTAGAACAATTCAACGAGATCGTTTTCTACTGAAAATTCACTTTTTTTAAAATGCACAATGATCATTTTGTATACAAGGAATGGATATTTGATTTTTGCGTGATCACTAAGAGAAGTGTACAATAGCATTTATGTTCAGCACTTTTTATTTGAAGGAAAAAACGTTTTGTAAGGGGGAGTTTAATCTTTGGCAAGTTTGGAACCGGAAGGTAAAATAACTAAATATGCTTGAAAGAATAACAAGGAGCATTAGTGACTCATAATCACATCATATGAAAAGCAAATACTGTTGGCAAATATTTATTTAAAAAGCTATGGGTTAAATTATGCATACTGTATGCAAACCATTAAATAATAAAACCTCAAGAGATTTAAACAGTAGCTTTGTTTTAAATCAGTATTACCTATATTATCATTATTATTGCTGTGATTTGTGTAGTATTTCTGTTTTGATTTAATTTGTATTTAGTTTATTTTCAGTTTGTGTTTCCTGGTGTTATAGGGCTTCAATTTGCATTTATCAAGAGCAATGTGCAGCAGGTCTAAGCACTGTGCACTTTAAAGTGAAAGGCCGTGGTTTTTAACACCAGGTGAAGTACTGCTCTTAAACCCTTTGACTTTCTCTAGTCATTTCAGTGTAACGCCCAGCGATATCAATTGGTGGAAATATAAATTGGATAAAAGCGCAAATTAAATATGTTTATTATTACTGGCCAGTCAGTTTAGGTTACAGTCAGGGTCGCCCATCACAAACAATAAGGTGTATTAATTTCACACATCATCCAGGTGGTGCTGCACATTGGTGGTGGAGGGGAGTCCCCATTACCTGTAAAGTGCTTTGAGTGGAGTGTCCAGAAAATAGCTATATAAGTGTAAGAAATTATTAATTATTGTTATTATTACTTTAAGAAATGAGAAAGGTTGCAAACAAGAGGCTGTCTTGTCTACCAGACAAATTGGCTGCTTATAGCTTATTGGTGGAAATACCTAATCTGATGTCTTGAAAGCGGCCAATGAATCATCTTCAACAACACTGCTAGCCTGTTGCATACACTAACAACCTTCTGTATCGAAATTTGTTCTAAATGTGTGTCCTAAATTTTAAAAGCACTTATCCAATTTTTTTGTCTTCTGTCCTGTGGTGCAATCTTTCACTCTCGATTTGGTCTTTGCCTTTTTAAATACTTTAACCGGGTTCCCTCATAGTCCCCTCTGTTTTAGACAATAAAGATTAAATTATTTTTCCCTGGCAGTGTAGAATATTCCTTTAAACATGAGAGCATAGCTGTTGACTCTTCTTTGGAATTTTCCTTCAACAGCAAGATTTGTTTTGGAGGGGGAAATACAGATTCTCACTTTTTTCCAACATAGCCTGACACAATTCTTGCCTTTTTCATTGCTTCTCCTCGTGCCCTACGTGTGTGAAATAATGTGTGGATAAAAATTAATCTTTTTTAATTGATTTTTTTTTTCTCGTAAAGAGCCTCAATGAGCTCAGCAGGTCCTTTCTTATGTTCAAAATTCACATTTACAAAGTAACCTGTCCTGTCTTGAATTGTGTCTAAGTCTTTCTGGATTTAATTTATCTGCCTCGAGTCAGTTGCTGTGTGGAAAAGTGGCTCTTTTCCCTCTGGAACAGAATTTCCAGCCCAGAGCCCCAGTATGGCAGAATGGAACTTGAACTGAAGGAGGTTCCATTCTTTGGATGAGAAATAAACAAGGTCCTGACTGCTTGGTCTTTTAAGATCCCGCGGCACTGTCAGAGTAGGAGTGTTAACCCTGCTGTCCTGGCTAAATTCCACTTCTGGCCTCCCCAGTGCCTTTCTCTTATGTCCAAGTACTTTCACATCTCTTCTCAGTTATTCCAAAATCAATATCGTCACTATAAATTGAAGAAGTGGAGTGGTTGTAAGACAGATTTTGACCTCACTGTTTACATCACAACGGTTTGAGCACTCACCCCTTATCTGAACTCTGGTTTCTTTCCATTATCCAGTTTTCTAATCAACTATTTACATGACCTTTGCCTACTATCGTCAGTATTAAGTATTTATCTTTAAACACCATCAAGACTTCTCAAAATATAAAAATGTAATCATAACTGCGATAACTTTATCGTTAAATAATAATACATTAGCATGTTTGAATCACATAAGAATAAACTGATAAGATAATAAAACGGAGAGCGAATTTACAGGACAGCTCCAATCTATATAAGTTGTGAAATACAGAAGACGTATTCTAACACTGCTCTGAGCCTTCAAATGACCACGGACGATCCCAGCCAGTGAGTCAAGCCGTGCCTCAGTCATCTCCCAGGCACAAAGCTGCTTTAAAATACAGTGTTTCTCTCCCCCCCGTTTTAAACTGTGTGTTTTTTTCTTTTGCTCTTCATGGAGTCTGGAACGTCTTGCGTTTCTGTACCCCCTGGTGTGAACTGCATTTCTTTCACAGCCATCACAGGCGCCGGACACCATCACTCCGGGCCGCCAGGGAGAAACACAAAACACCGCTTGTGTTTGTCCCATGCAGGATCCCGCTTTCCCACAAAATGTAAAAGCAAACAAACAAAACCGGGTGCTGTCACTCCATGACCCTCCTCCCCCTATCACCACCACCCCCATCTCGGCACAGGATCCCTCCCTCCTGTGCTGACGTAACAGCGTGTCCTCTGTTGGCTGACATGAACGGCGGGGTCTTTCAAGCCCTCCCTTTAGCCCCTAGGCGCGCCTCTGCTGTTCCCGCCTGTGTCCGCCAGAGGGCGCTCTGGTTCCGGTCTGCAATTGCGCCATTCGATTGTGGAAAATGCCACCAGATGGCGGCTTAGGATTGCTGCTCTTCTGAAAGGCGCGGTTCCGCTCGCGGTCCAATTTCCAATAAAAAACCTTCGCCGTTTTTAAAATATTTTCGATTTTTTTTTCTTCCGGAGAGGGGCAAACGGTCCGGGAATGGACGGCAAAGGTGAGTTAGTTTGGGTTGGGGTTTTTTTTTCCGGGCTGGAGGGAGAAGGGAGACGGAGCGCGGATTAAAGATGGAGGACGAAGAGGGAGAGACAGGGTGCAGGTGGGGGATGGGGAGCGGCTGCAGGAGGGAATGTGCTTTGCTTTTTCCCGCTTGCATTATTTAAGGATCTGAACGATTTCTCGTTATTGCCATTTGTGAACACGACTGTCCAAAATAGCTGTGATCCAGTTGGCCCTTTTTAATTCAAAGTCACTGTGTCCCGTGAAGGTTCCACTTTAATGCAACGAGTCTTTTTTTCCCCCAGTGGAAGGCGGACATACAGAAAGCCTAGTTAGCCGAAATCCAGGCTCTCGGGACGGGAGCTCTTTTGTTATTGCTTTCTTGCCGAGGAGTTACAGTTTCTTTGTAACGTCTGCCCGTGGCGAGGTTATTGTTCTGCGGTAGTGTGTGTGTGTGTGTCCGGCTTCACCGCGATCGCCATTGTGCGAGCTCGTTTGTGTATTAACACAAACACCGGGTGATGGGTCTTATTTAGCACGATTGCGCCGTTTGCACGCCAGACAAGGGGAGACGAGTCTCTCGAACCAAGCTCGCTGCACTTGTGTGTGTTATAAGTGGAGTCAGATGACGACATGCTGATGATTTGTTTTGCCTTTGCCTTTTTTTTTTCCCTCCCTTCCTCAAGATCCAGCGTGCATTTCTGAAAAATTAGCGGGGAAACGTGCTTCTAAAGTCCCGAGATGAGGAGGGGGGGGAGACCGCAGGTCACACGCACGGTGCGCGGCGTGCTGTGCGGGGCTGTGCGGGGATCTGGCCGTGCTCGCTGGTCGAGACGCACTCGGACGCGGCGGGGAGGAAATTTGTTTACAATCCGGGTCTGTAACCTGGGACTGATGAGACGTGTGTGTGCGGGGAGGGCTGCTGTCCTGCCTCTTGCGAGAGTTGGCAAGTTCTGCGCACCCCGACCTTTGACCCCCATTGTGCACTGGATTCGTCTCATTTCATTAAAACAATTCAGCTCCAGTCAGTGTCTCAACCCCGGCCCACTGCAGACACCGCCTCGCCATGAAGCTCCCCATGCTGTTGGCGCCCCACTCTCTTCAACCTCGCCTGTTCTCAGTCTTGCCGACAGGATCGCGTCCTGCTAGGGGCTTTGGTCTGGACCTGTGACCTTGGAGGTGCTGGGGCTGTGTGCATCGCCACCTTAAGTTGTGTGAAGTGTTTCATTCGGCAGGGAAGCTGGGATTCCTGTGTTTGGAACTTTTGGCTGAGTTAGTTTGTATGTATCTCTGCAGTTCTTTCATATTTCACTGCCACGGGGGGAGTGGTGGGATAACTCGAGTGTTGTGTGTAAAGTGTTGTTTGCATTCTGTTGGCACCAAAGCACACAGACCCCCAGATCACATGGCCACTACAGTAGCTGCAGAGAGCCAGTCCATTTTATTGCTGTTGTAGTTCTTTGCTGGAGAAGATCTGCAGACACCGTGGTTAAGAAGTGTGACGTAGCCCCTTTTTTCCCCTTGTGCTCCTCTTATTTTCTTTTTGCCCGTTGCAGAATTCTTTTGTTCAGCTCCATCTGTATTTTACGAAGAAAAGCTCTTTCTACAGCTCCTCGTTACAAACCTTGTGTAGCCCCTGTTGCCTTTTTAGAAAGCCGTGGAATGCCACAGAATAGCATTCCAAACCTCACGGCTTCTGTTGGACATGTCCTCAGGAAGAGCGTGGTTTGATTTCACAGCCCATTATTTAAAACCATTCAAATTCCGTTTAGCTTCCTTGCTTGGGTTTATTCGTTAGCTCGGCAGGTACTGCAGCCTGTGAGACCAGGTGGTTGGGTTCACACCTGTCCGGACTGGCTGTGAAATGAGATTTGAATTAAGCTCAGCAGTCACGGGACCTGTTAACTGTAGGAAAGGGATTGAGGCTGGATGGCGTGTCAGTGTCTCTCTTCTGGAGCCCCATTTTACCCTCTCCTCACATTATGGTTGTCCTTCAGGTGTTCTGCTGTTCATTTGTGGCTGGTAAGTCAAAAACTAGCACACTGACAACAGTGTTCGATAACTTTATGAAATTTATTAGGCCCCAGACTACCTTATCCAGGTGGATGCTGCACATTGGTGGTGGTGGAGGGGAGTCCAGATTACCTGTAAAGCGCTTTGAGTGGAGTGCCCAGAAAAGCGCTATATAAGTGTAAGCAATTATTATTATTAATTATGCATCTACTTTTTTTTTGTACCGTTTGAACATTAAGCTGATTGAACTGTTTTCTCAGCTTGTGTTACCTGGTGGTATGTAGCGAAATAAACCCCACTCGTTGCTAGTTCAAGATCTTGATATGGTACATTAACGGGAAGAAATGTATTCTGTGGCAAGATGGTGTGAAGTATCATGCTTACGCACGCGTTCTCAGAGCTTGATTTCAGCGTGGCATTGCCAAATGAGCCAGGTAGGCCTTAATCAAGGTATGGGGGTATGGCTGTTTTGGCTACTTGTGGGATAGCCTCTGAAATGGTTGTTTAGAAATTCTGTT